GTCCCTTGTGACTATACCAGGTAGATGCAAAAAATTCTCAACAAAATAGTAGCAATCCGAATTTAGCAGCATATTTAAAGAATTATATAGCATGTCCAAGTGATATTTGTCCTAGGAATGCAATATATAAAATCAATGTAATATATGATATTAATAGAATGAAGGGGAGAAACCACATGATCAACTCAACTGATGCAGAAAATATTTAATATTGAAAAAATCCAATGCCGTTTCATAATAAAGTCAATAAACTAGATATAGAAGGGAAGTTCCTCAACATGATAAAGGCTTTGTCTGAAAAACATCATGCTCAATGGTAAAAAACTGAAAGCTTTCCCCCTAAGATCAGGAACAAGACAAGAATGCCCACTTTTGCCACTTCTATTCAACATATTAGAAGTCCTAGCCAGAACAATTAGAGTTTAAAAAGAAGAAGAAATAAAAGATATCCAAAGTGGAAAAGCAAAACTATCTCTAAAACCCAAAAGAATTCACAGAAAAATTATTAGTCTAATAAATAAATTCAGCAAAGTTGTAGGATACAAAATAAAAAATCAGTTGTGTTTCTATGTACTGCCACTGAACAATCAAATAAGAAAAAAACTAATTTTATTTAATTTTTATTTAATTAAATAATAATTATTTTCTCAAAAGAGAGAAAATAATTCCACTTACAATAGCCTCATACAAGAATCAACCAATGAGTGCATACATAAGTAGAACAACAAATCAATGTTTCTCTCTCCCCTCTCCTCTCTATCTAAAATAAATAAAGTAGCCGAAACTGGTTTGGTTCAGTGGTAGAGCGTCGGTCTGAGGACTGAAAGGTCCCAGGTTCGATTCCGGTCAAGGGCATGTGCATTGGTTGCGGGCACATCCCCGGTGGGGGATGTGCAGGAGGCAGCTGGTCGATGCTTCTCTCTCCCCGACGTTTCTAGCTCTCTATCTCTCTCCCTTCCTCTAAGTAAAAAATCAATAAAATATATTTAAAGAATAAAATAAACAAAGTAAAAAGAAATTATGGTGTGTGTGTGTGTGTGTGTGTGTGTATAAAATGAATTATTATTCAGCCATAAAGTGAATGAAATATTGTCATTTGTGACATGTATAGACCTCAAAGGCATTATGCTATGTAAAATAAGTCAGACAGAGAAAGACAAATACCTATGATCGTTCATATATATATATATATATATATATATATATATATAATCTAAATTTAAAAAAAAAAAAAACATGTTTACAAATATAGAGAATAGATTTGTGATTGCCAGAGGTGGGAGTCCGGGGTGAAAAAAATGAGTAAAAGGGGTCAAACTGTTTTTTTTTTTTTTTAATTTTTTTTATTAAGCTAGGGAATACAGAATACCAAATACAGAATTGGTAACATCTATGAAAAAGCATTAATAAAAATAAGTGGAAAGAAGCATTAAAAAAGAAAGAAAACAAAAGACTCAGTTGTTATGTTGTTACAACTGAGCTAAATGGAAAAGACCTTTTTTTTTTTTTTTACAGCCCAGCAGCCTTCTGTAGGAATGCCCAGATGCAGGAGGTGAGGAGAGCAGCCCGGCTGCTCCAAGCTGGGCAGATGGAAAGCAGAATCCCTGGGGAAATAGAGAGGCGGACCTTCCTTCAGGCCAGCTTTAGGCTGCTGCCCACAGAGAGCAAGCATGCCCACTGAGCTCCTCTCCCAGTCCCCCCACCCTGCATAGTCTGTCTGTTTTATACCTTTTGGCTTCTAAAGCTGTCCTCTGTTTATGACCTATTCACCTTCAGCTCACACACTGTGGCAAGCTCAGGGTCAAGTTCAGTTCAGTGTGTTTTCAATGCCTTATTTATTTATTGTTCACACTATTACAGATGTTCCCTCACCCCTTCCCACCTCTACCCACCCCCCCCCATGTCTTTTTTAATTTTCAATTTTTTAGATGATACTTTTTAATTTAAATTCTTTATTGTTGAAAGTATTACATAAGTCTCCTTTTTCCTCCATTGACCTCTCCCAGGCCACCTCCACCCCCCATATGCCCTCACTCCACCCACCCCGGTCTGTGTTCATTGGTTTTGTTCATATGCAAGCATACAAGTCCTTTGGTTGATCTCTTACCCCCTCACCCCCTGCCTTCCCTCATAAGTTGGACAGTCTGTTCCATGATTCTCTGTCTCTGATCCATTTTTGATCATCAGTTTATGTTGTTCATTATATTCCACAAATGAATCAGATCATGTGATATATATCTTTCTCTGACTGGCTTATTTTGCTTAGCATAATGCTTTCCAGTTCCATCCATGCTATTGCAAATGGTAAGAATTCCTTCTTTTTTATAGCAGCGTAGTGTTCCATTGTGTAGATGTACCACAGTTTTCTAATCCATTCACCTGCTGACGGGCACGTAGGCTGTTTCCAAATCCTAGCTATTGTAAATTGTGCTGCTATGAACATAGGGGTGCATATATCCTTTCTGATTGGTGTTTATGTTTTCTTGGGATATACTCCTAGAAGTGGGATTACTGGATCAAATGGAAGTTCCACTTTTAATTTTTTGAGGAAACACCATACTGCTTTCCACAGAGGCTACTTTTTAAAGACCTGCTGTACACCTTTAGGGACGTTCATCATTAAGGCTAAAGGCAGTAAAACCATATTTCAAGTGCTCTTCTTAATCACTGTTGCCTTTTTTGTCCAGTTTTAAGCCAGCTGTGATTAGCTTATGGTGGGCTTTTCCTTGTAATGTGGCTGATGAAGGGCTGGTGCTAGGTATGGGAGAAATGCAGGATCAGCTATGTAGAGGGAGCAGAGAGGAAGGGTTAGCTCTGCTGACAGGGGTGGGGTAAGGGAAGGCTTTCTTTGTGAACTGATGCATTCTAGGCAGAGGGAACAGCCTGGAACAGCATGAGCCGAGATCCAGAAGCTTTAAGTAGTAGGTGGCTTCAGAGAACTATTTGCTCAATGTTGCTGATTATAAAGATAGTCTGAAGAGCTTTTTTTAAAATTGGGGAGTGGCTGACACCGGTTTGGCTCAGTGGTAGAGTGTCGGTCTGTGAACTGAAAGATCTCGGGTTCGATTCTGGTCAAGGGCAGGTGCCTTGGTTGCGGGCACATCCCCGGTGGGGGGTATGCAGGAGGAAGCTGGTCGATGTTTCTCTCTCATTGACGTTTCTAGCTCTCTCTCCCTCTCCCTTCCTCTCTGTAAAAAATCAATAAAATATATTTTTAAAAGTGGGGAGTGGCTGTTGAGTTAGTCTAGGTGTGCCAAGAACAACTGTAAAGAAACAAACAAACCTGAGCTATGAGGCTCCTGCCCACAAGAACACCTGTTTGTTCACATGGAAGAGCATCTGAGGGGTTGCAGGAAGTTCAAGCCCCAGGCGCTCACAGGTCCAGTCCCTCCCTCCTATCAGCTAGGATTCTCTGTACAGGTATGTCATTGACGGAAATTCAAGCAGCTCAGTGGTGACCAGCCAACCATTTCCAAAGAGACTCCTAATAAACGTGGAGCTGAACCCAGCAAATCTGCTCAAGGTGCGGACCAGCTGCGTGGGTCTGTTTGGAAGATGCCAGCCTCTGAAACCAGTGGAAGTTGAGGAGCCAACAGGTCACGGTAGAAAAGATAAAGGGAGGTCTCCATCTCAAGTCTGCTTTGCAATGGATGGCCTTATCTTCTTGGAGGAAAAGGACTCAAGGGGCTGAGGTCAGGAAATGTGTGCCCAAAAGGAACTCAAGGCTCATGGTGCCATGTTGGAAACCACTGGTGCCTACAGAGAGCAGAGGAGATGGGATTGAGTATACAAGAGGATTTCTCCAGTTCTGTAACTTCCTAAAGGGCAGGCAGAGGTATGAAGACCAAATGCTGGTCTCCTTCCTGAGCAAGGACCCATCCTCCTACCTCAGTGAGCACCACGGCAGATTGGGAAACTGCCTTCTGTGAAATGGTAGGACCTGACTCTGCCCTGAACAGCTCCAAGGCTGTTGGTTCCCAGCGTCTTCTCTTGGCACTGCTCTGCCTGTCATAAAATGGCTGGTACACTTCTCCTGCACTCTTACACAAAACACAGCAGAACTTCACTGACTCTTTTCATGTGGGACTACAAAAAGGGGGGCCTTTATTGACAGAGTGAGAAAGAACAGAAATGATTAAGGATTCCTCTCTGGGAGCTCTCGGTTCACAGACACAGGTTTTATTGTCCTTGCTGCTTGGCAGCTAATGCTGCCACAGAATCTTCCAAGCTGGCTGCCCTTGACCAAGTTTTCTAGACCAGAGGCGGGCAAACTACAGCCCACGGGCCAATTCTGGCCCACCATTCATTTTTGCATGGCTTGAGAACTAAGAATAGCTTTTACATTTTTTTTAAAGTGTTAAAAAAAAAATGAGAAGACCTACACTGGACAATAATGTACGGCAGCGTTTTTCAACCGCTGTTCCGCGGCACACTAGTGTGCCGCGAGATGTTGCCTGGTGTGCCGTAGGTGCAGACAAGACAAGAATTTTATAATTTTTCACTATTTTGTTTACTTAATATTTCATAATAAAGTAATTATAAAATACTTTCTTTGTGTTTATTTGATTCCTATTCAAGAGAATTACTTTATATATAGTCAATATAGGCACAGAGTTAAATTTTTTAACATTTTCTAATGGTGGTGTGCCTCGTGATTTTTTTCATGAAACAAGTGTGCCTTTGCCCAAAAAAAGGTTGAAAAACACTGATGTACGGTACACTTAAAACTTGTTAAAAGGGCCAAAACCGGTTTGGCTCAGTGGATAGTGTCAGCCTGCGGACTGAAGGGTCCCGGGTTTTGATTCCAGTCAAGGACATGTACCTTGCGGGCAGCAGATCGATGACTCTCATCGATGTTTCTAACTATCTCTCTCCCTTCTTCTCTGTAAAAAAATCAATAAAATATATATATTTTTTTTTAAAAAAAAACTTGTTAAAAGGATGGATTTCATGATGTATTCTTACCATAATAATAATAATTTTTAAAAGAACAGTCAATAAAAGGATGGTTATATTTCGTGACACATGAAAATCATCTGAAATTGAAATTTAAGTGTTGCTACATCATTGGAAGATAGTTTGATTGGGAGACAGCCACGCTCAGACTGAGGGCTGCTTTGACACCATAGTGGTAGAGGCAAAGGCAGGGCTTGCTCCCAAATGTCCTTGTAAGGCTTGGAGGTTTCTGAACCCATGAGACTAACCTGCTCATTCAACCAGGGTTGTTTACAGAATGTTAACCCTTTTACAACTACATTGGTGTTTATATGCCAAAGTCATTGTGGACCAGGAGGGGACCTCTTTGGGGTTGACTATCCCTGCCAGGGAAATGTAGGTCAATGGGGGGAGGAGGCTCTTAAAAGTCCCCGGGCTCTGTGTAACAAATCAAATTTGTGCAGGTTCCTTAGGGCCGTTGCAACCAAAACCCTCCTCCACCCCCTCCTCACGCCGAAGGCCCAGGACTGAATAGTCTATCTGGAGTCTTTGAGGCTGCCAGCAATGCTCCTCCTCTCTCCTTTGCTATTGGGAGCAGACTAGAATGAGTCCGACATTAGGAATGCAGCAAGCAGATGGGCAGTTGTTGCGTTTTGTGTTGTTTCCAACCCCCCTTTTCCTCTCTGCACCCTTCCCCCCACTTCTCCCAGTGTCCCAAGTACATTTTTTTAAAAAGAGAGGGCACAACACAGAAACACAGGCCCACTGCCTGTCCCCGCTACCTCCCAAATTTGAGGCCAGCAGACAACCTCTCCCTCACTGGGGAGGTCTCCTCTAGGGACCACCCCTCCTCTCTGTTCTCTCGGGTCCCCTAGGGTGAAGGAGGAGGCCTGACAATGAAAAGGGGGTGGGAAATCAAGGTATAAGCTGCCCACCCCACTTCCGGAGCCCTGTGTAAGGGCTGTGAGAAGTGGGTAAGTTGAATGGTGGAAGATAAGCCACCTTCAATACCAGCAACTGTTCAGACATTGGTGGGGAGTCTTCTCTAGGCGCCTCAGGCTAAGCTGCCCCACCTATGGGAGCTGTGGAGGTAGCGTGGAGGCACGGACCAGGGACCTTGTAAGGCAACAGGGAGTGTGAGCTGTGGACGACACAGGCAGAGGGAAGACCTGTGCAGAAGTGGCCCACTCAGCCCCATGCCGTACCATGCTGGACCATATCCACCCAGGTCTTGCTTGAGCAAAATTAGGCATCATTTAGGGTTCATTTCTTACTTGTGCTTCTTTGCTTGGTTTGGCTTACCTTACTTTCCACTCGCATCCACCCCCAGATTAGAAAGCAATTCCAATGCCATGATGCCATTTACCATCCAAGGCAGTCCCCATAGCCAGGAAGGCATTCCAGATGGTGTGGTGGGTGTAAGGAATTCCTGGGCTTAGAGGGAGCAGGGAGAGGGTGCAGACACCATCTGTGATTGCCGGGGAAATAGAACTGGACCCATGGAATGGAGAACCTCATACCACACAGGGCAGGAGGTTGTCTTTTGAGCTGCTTCTACTGGTAGCTAGGGTCTGGGGTCCTCTCCTCAGGCTGCAGGAAGGAAGTGCCTCCAATGCAATCCAGCCATGACCTCTCCCACCTCCCTATATGAAAACGACATGCTGCCTCTCTACAACTGCCTCCAGCCTGGAAACCAAAGAGTCATTGGCGCCTGCCTTTCAATCCAGTAGCTGTTCCCTTTTCTCCTGGCCCCCACCCAAGCCCTCCACCCCACTGGGTACAAGAGGAAATGCCAGCAGGACTGGGGGCCTGGTCACCGCGCGGGCTCCAAAGCAGAGCTTGGCTGGGAGAAGGAGGGCTGACTTGAAGGCATTGCTATTCAAGAGGCCTGGGCTCCCCCTGCCCAGCTCTGGGTATGGGGCTCAGCAGCTGGAACCGGGAAGAGATGAAGCTTCTGAGTTCTTGAAGTGTATCCTGAGTTGCTGATGCCTTCTGAAGGCAAGGTGGCAGTGGAAACCAGGAGGCCCTGGGAAAAGTAGGACAAAGACAGGGACTTGAGTTGGGGTGGTGAACACACAACACAGTGTACAGATGATGTGTTGTAGAATTGTGCACCTGAAACCTGTATAATTTTGTTAACCAGTGTCACCCCAATAAATTCAATAAAAAAGGGGAAAAAGGGTAGAACAAAGGATATGCATCTAATCTGTGTGCAAAATAACCATATGCATAAAAATGGAAGACACAATAATGCTCTCACCAAGCCCCATATTATTATAGATTATTGAATACGTGCCTTAAAACTAGGAATACAGCCCAGCTGGTGTGGCTCAGTGGTTGAGCATAGACCTATGACCTAGGATGTCATGTTTCGATTCCTCAGTCAGGGTACATGCCTAGATTGTGGGCTTGATCCCCAGTGTGGGATGTGCAAGAAGCAGCTGATCGCCGAGACCGGTTTGGCTCAGTGAATAGAGCATCGGCCTGCGGACTGAAAGGTCCCAGGTTCGATTCCGGTCAAGGGCATGTACCTTGGTTGCGGGCACATCCCCAGTAGGGGGTGTGCAAGAGGCAGCTGGTCGATGTTTCTAACTCTCTATCCCTCTCAATTCCTCTCTGTGTAAAATCAATAAAATATATATATATTTTTTTAAAAAGAAGCAGCTGATCAACAATCCTCTCTCATCATGGATATTTCTATCTCTCCCCCTATCCCTTCCTCTCTGAAATCAATAAATATATATATATATATATATATTTTTTAAAGAATTCTGGGATGATTTTATATTTCCCCCAAGACATATTGTGAATATTCTTTAAGTTATTTTGCTAAATAAATTCCTCAGAGGACAAGAGGTTCCTGTAGCATGTAGGACTGGGCTAATGGAAATGTATCCCGTGACCCTACAAATACATAAATGTGGGTAAACCATATCACTATAAATAGATGATAGATAGATAGATAGATAGATAGATGATAGATAGGTAAGATAGATACATATACATATACATATACATATACATATACATATACATATACATATACATGGTTTTTAAAAAAAGGGAAGGGAAAGAGAAATCATCACGTTTTAGATCCAAAGAGGGAACTCACAGGCAGAGAGAGCTGTCACATGAGCCTGATGTGGCAGTCAGGGAGGGAGTGGGAACTGGGCCTGGCGTCCTCTGAAACTGAGACCGTTGTGTAAAGGTGCCCAAAATGGACTCAAAAAACCCTTCCCAGCAGAACAGAGAAACAGAAGGCAAGATTTCTGTGTCTCAGAACTCAAGATGGGGGTTGGGGGAGGGGGGGTGGTAGCGGGGAAACTCTCCTATAAGAAATTACCAAATTAAGTTTATGCTGTGTGGATCTAAATTTCTACTACCTGCCCAATGATAATGAAAATTGTAGACAAGAAATTCACATAAAAGTTGATCTAGGCTCTGTTCAACCCTGGGGCTCCAGCAAAAGTGAATGCAAAATGCTTTACGTCTAGAACACTGTCACCGAAAATAGAAGAATCCTAGATGGAAATGAGGACATAATAAAAACCAGAAACCACAAAAACAAAAATGAACCACCTGAAGAATCCTGAGTAGACACATGGAATCGGATGATTGGCATCCGATTAGAAAAGACACTACAAAAACAAGCATGTTAAAAGTTACTAAAGAGCCAAAACTGGTTTGGCTCAGTGGATAGAGCGTTGGCCTGCGGACTGAAGGGTCTCTGGTTCGATTCTGGTCAAGGGCATGTACCTTGGTTGTGGGCACATCCCTAGTAGGGGGTGTGCAAGAGGCAGCTGTTCGATAATTCTCTCTCCTCTCTCGTGGAGTTTCTAACTCTCTATCCCTCTCTCTTCCTCTCTGTAAAAAATCAATAAAATACATTTTTTTTTAAAAAAAAAAAAAGGTTACTTAAAGAGATAACAAACTAGAGCCTGGAATGAAAAAAATGGGAAATTTTCAGTCCTGCCTCTCAACTTAATTTTGAAACAGACTCTAAGCCTCTTCTTTCTCCTATTAAAGTGAGAGTTCGCCGAAACCGGTTTGGCTCAGCAGTGGAGCATCGGTCTGCGGACTGAAAGGTCCCAGGTTCGATTCTGGTCAAGGGCATGTACATTGGTTGCGACGTTTCTGGCTCTCTATCCCTCTCCCTTCCTCTCTGTAAGAAAAATCAATAAAATATATTTAGAGGGGAAAAAATAATAAATAAATAAATAAATAAATAAATAAATAAATAAAGTGAGAGTTCACAGAAGGCAAACAAGCAAATGGTATGTTCAGGATCAGGTCTAGCAAACAACTATTAACCAGGAACAAGAAAATACCAGTCTTCCTTCAAATTATGGATGCACCTGCAGAAAGAATTAGAACCTGTGACTCCCCCATGAGACACCCCAAGAAACCAGCAGCATTTCAGTCTCCCTCCCAAGCACCACGAATGCCTCTCACTAAAGTCCCTGCCATTCATGAAGGAGTTCAATGAGGATTGGGAGTTTTCTCTGGGAAGTAGGACTTCCTGTGTCCCTTATGGCCTTCTAGTGTCCCCGTGATCATCATTGCTTCAGCTATCAGCTGAAGAGAAGCCTTCTGAGGTTCCATCTCTACTCTCTCAGGAAACGGCTGACCAGGGTTTGATCCCCCTTTTCTTTCATTCTGGTCTCCTGTTTTATCTATATACTAGAGGCCCAGTGCACAAATTCGTGCACGGGTGATGTCCCTCGGCCTGGCCTGCGATCAGGGCCAATCAGGGCCGGCAGGCCAGGGGGAGGAACCATGGGAGGTTGACTGGCCAACAGCGGGGGAGGGACTGCAGTAAGTTGGCTGTGGGAGCACACTGACCACCACGGGGTAGCTCCTGTGTTGAGTGTCTGCCCCCTGGTGGTCAGTGCATCATCATAGTCACTGGTCGACCGGTTGTAATGGTCACTTAGGCTTCTATATATACTATATATAAAACCCTAATATGCATATTGACTGAACAACAGAACAACCAGTTGCCATGATGCTCACTGAACACCAGGGGGCAGATGCTCAATGCAGAAGCTGCCCCCTGGTGGTCAGTGCACTCCCACAGGGGGAGCACTACTCAATCAGAAGTCAGGCTCACAACTGGTGAGTGCAGCAGCTATTTCCACAGCAGCACTAAGGACCCCTTGGGGGATGTCCAGTTGCGTGGAGTGAGCCTAAGCCAGCAGGCGGACATCCCCCAAGGGATCTCAGACTGTGAGAGGGCACAGGCTGGGCTGAGGAGACACCTCCACCCCCCACTTCAGTGCATGAATGTCATGTACCGGGCCTCTTGTAGAGATATACTAGTAAAAGCCTAAGCAGCCAGCTGACAGTCCAGTAGCTATGATGCACACTGACCACCAGGGGACAGACATTCAAAACAGGAGCTGCCAAGCAACTTTGCAGAGTGCCCTCTTGCACTCCAGGACCCCTTGGGGGATGTCAGACTGCCGGTTTCGGCCTGATCCCCGCAGGCCAGTCAAGGGACTCCACCTGCCGGAGAGACCCTACTCATTCTGCAGATGCCCTTTGAGCCCCAGCACCACCCCAGGGAGGGACCATGGGAGGTTGGCTCCAGGGCATGTCTGGCCTATCTCGCCCAGTCTCACCCTGCTGGCCACCTTCTAAATAATTTCCTTTCAATGTACATGAATCTATGCACCAGGTCTCTAGTTTTAATATAAGGTCAAATAATTACTGTTTGTTCTTTTTTCAAGATTGCTGTAATTATTCTAGAACCTGTGCTCTTCTATCTAAATCTTAGAATAAGTGTGTCTATGTCTACAAAAATACCTTGCTGGGCTTTTGATAGAAATTATATTAAACCTATAGATGAATTTGAAAAGAATTGACATTTCTGCTATGTTGAATCTTCCAATCCATGCCCATAATATATCTCTCCATTTATTCATGTGTGGGTTTGTGTGTTTTTTTGTTTGTTTGTTTCATCAGCATTTTGTAATTTTGTGCATGTTTTGTTTTTGTTTTGTTTGTGTGTGTGTGTGTATGTGTCTGTGTGTGTTGTTTTTTAAAATATATTTTGACTGACATCAGAGAGAGGCAAAGCTTTGGCAACAAACTCTCCCATGGAAGAAGCTGCCACAGGTCTAAGCGGCCTGGGAACCAGCACCCTCTGATGGTCTGATGCACATTTGGATGATCAGATGGGCCAAGGGAGAACACTAAGGTAGGCACCTTTCCTAGTGGAGTCAGCAAACAGTAGGAAGTTAGTTTTCCTGCTCACACACCCTCTCTTTTCCTCATAGTACCAGCTGGAATCCAGTTTCTGAACTGCAGGTTAGAAGGTAGAAAAAGGAGGGAATGGATTACACCTCCATGCACACATAATGCAATATTCCCAGACCCTGATTCCTTCTATCACAACTGTTGTTCCGTAGAACCTTTTGTGATGGGCTGTCCAACAAGATAGCCACCAGTCATACGTGGGTATACAGCACTGGAAATGTTAATAGTGCAACTAAAGAACTAAATTTTTTATTTAATTTTTTTAATTTTATTTCATTTTAATTAATTTAAATAGTCATGTGTGACTAGTGGTTACTGTATTTGGCAGCACAGAACTAGAGGAACTCCTGGATGCAGGAAATACATTCATGGACAAATCTAAAAAGCACATGAAAATCAGAAGTATAATCTATAATAAAGGAAAGAAGCACAGCCCTGCCTGGTATGGCTCAGTTGGTTGCAGCCTTGTCCTGTACACCAAAAGGTTGTGGGTTCAATTTCAGATCAGGGCACATACCTACATTGCAGGTTTGATTCCTGGTCAAGGCACATGCAGGAAGGCAACCAATCAACATTTCTCTCTCACATTGCTATTTCATTCTTTCTCTTTCTTTTTCCTTTCTCTCTATCTCTCTCTCTCTTTCCTTTCCCCTCTCTAAAATCAATAAGCATGTCCTCAGGTGAGATTTAAAAAAAAAAAAAAAAGGAAAGAAGTATTTTATTTGGGCTCTATGCATGCATGCTAATTTAAAATACATATTATATATA